TCTCTCCAGCACACCACGTGGCGAGATCTGCATCCGTGGAAGACCTTGTTCTCCGGGTATCACAAACGTACAGACCTCACTGACGAGGTTCTCGTCGACGGGTGGCTCCACACCGGTAAAAATCTCGGATTCCTTTGTAAAGTTATGGATGTAATTTTCTGATATTGCAAAATGAGACGGATGGGGCAATTGACGTAGGGGACGTGGGAGAGTGGCAAGCAAACGGGAGCATGAAAATAATAGACAGGAAGAAGAACATCTTCAAACTGTCGCAAGGAGAATACGTAGCCGTTGAGAACTTGGAGAACATTTACAGTCACGTCGCGGCCATTGAATCGGTAACTCTTTATTACTAGCCCTATCTCGTATATACAACTCTAATGATCTGAAAGACGGAATGAATGGATGATACAGATGTGGATATACGGGAACAGCTATGAGTCGTTCCTGGTGGCTGTGGTATGCCCCAGCAGGATACAGCTCGAACACTGGGCAAAGGATAACCACATTTCGGGCGACTTCGACTCCCTCTGCCAAAACCCAACGGCCAAAGAGTTCATCCTGGCTGAACTCTCCAGAATCGCCAAAGACAAGAAGCTGAAGGGCTTTGAAGTGATAAAAGACGTTCACTTGGAACCGGTGCCGTTCGACATGGAACGAGACCTTCTCACCCCTTCCTACAAGAAGAAACGCCCCCAACTCCTCCGTTACTATCAGAAAGTGATCGACGAAATGTACAACAAGGCGAAGAAGTAGGAAGATGGACAATGCAATTGCCTGATGAAGCAACAACTAATAGACGCACTTCTTCTTCATTGGTACTTGTACACTTGCAATCTCGTTTCCCTCTCCGCTTTGTAATTTATAAAACATGCAAGCTTGAATTATTGGACCCTCACTGATGGTGGAGGATCGATAAAATTTCATTTTTCTTCCTTCTACAAAAGAAACACGCACACACACACAACACCAAATGGAGTCGATAAAATTCCATTTGTCTTGCAATTTGATCAGCTTGAGCCCAACCTCAAATATAAATTAGAATTGGCGTGAGAGAGAAGCCCAAAACCAAGGATTCGGTTTTTGTTTATCTGTCGATAGCAAGAATTTCAGGGCCTAATTTACACGGATGGAAATATTACAGAAACACTAAGCCAAGTTACTAAATAAGCAATCATTTGAAATCTCATGTATTTTGGGATAATAACCCAAAAGTTTTCTAACTTTAATAAATTTACATAATAACCAAAAAAAAGTTTTCAAGCCACAAGGAAAGTTTTGCACGTGCCCTAAAGAAAAAAAAACGAGAATAAATTGTCACGACCAAATCACATTTCATTTAGACTGTTGCTGAGATTACAACTGACTGACGAATCAATAAGGAAAAAGACCCCAAAAGGACACACACAACACACACACACACGATATATGATACGTTTCTTGAGCACAAGGAATGAAAAACAAGCCCTTGCAAACACACGCCTTCCCCCCACATTTACCCAACCACTATCCAATATTTCTATATATATATATGTGTGTGTTTTTTTTAAAGGACTGGAAGTTGGTGGAGAAAGAGGATGAGCACTTCGACCCTTCCCTTTTGAAAGGAGTTCATTTCTCCGTCTCTTCACACCTTTCTTCCACCCCTTCCTCAGCCCCTTTTTTTTCTTTTTTACTTTTCTACCTCCTCCTAATGCCACAGAAACCAAACCTCTCTTCGCTTTTCTGCACAACCTCCATTTTTTCTTTCGGTTGGTTCAAGCCAAGGTGAAGCCTGACACAGAGACGTCAGCTGGAGATGCGGAGTGGATGTAGACGAATTCAATGGACTTTCCAGCCGGTAAAGAGCTCATCCACGACGGCAATGCGTAGGAATCGCCGGATCTCCTCAGTCCCCATATGGGTCCATATAGATTCTTGATTGAAAGGTTGAGACTTTTCAGAGCTTTTGCCGATTGGTTAGTCACCCTCGTCGAGTATCTGTAGTAGGTCTTTCCCTTTGCCGTCCACGACGCTGTCATCTTCTGAACTATGGCAAGTGGCCCGGACGATGACACTGCAGAAGCAGGATAATGACAAATGTGTCTTAGCAAACGTTAATAATGATTTTGGTATGGCTTTCATGGATCAATCTGATGAAGTTAACACAAAAACATACCAGGAACAGGAGTCACTTTCGGTTTTGGAGTAGGCATCGGTTTCTTGACAACAGGAGCGGGAACCACCTCTGCTAGGACAAGAAAAAAGGACCATGCATTGGTTGGTTACTCAAGACGGGGGGTCAGATCACCAACGCATTCACGAAAACAGACCTATCTATCTTTGCATTCACAACATACCAGGAAGAAGCTGGTTATAACGAGATGGGCCGCTGCTCAGACGAGCAAGCACACCCAGGAGTGGGGCGTTGTTGTATGTAGCCGGTTCGGTCTGCTCGTAGTTATCCCTCTGGTCAGCAAAGTTGTCATACGCGTCCGGCCCACCAACAAGGGCACCAGTCAGGACGTTCGGGTCACTGCTTTTCCGGCTGAACCACGTGGCATATCCACCTCGGCATGTGACAAAAGAGTGATCCACCTTGTAGGAGACAATGGAAGAGGCCCTGTGGTGAACCCTCTGAGGGTAGTTGTTACCATATCCGACCATGTAGCTTGTGGCCCTCGGGTTGTCTCCAAGAATGTAGTCAACCTGAGATTGTCGAAATGGCTTGTTGGCTCTTGCAAACATTTTAGGACATCGTAGATACACCGAAAGATATACTTTACGTGATCTTACCTGAGATTTCGCGAAAGACAGAAGCTGCGAAGGAGGGACATTGCCTGAGGGACAAGCCAAGCTGGTTCTAGCAGAAGAAAGGTAATCAGAGTAAACAGTGGCCACGAAAGAAGCGCTCGTGACAAACTGCATGTTGTTCCACCGCTGTCTGAAAATCAGACCGCCGGGTGTCTTCTGGATGTTTCTTGCACCCTTACCGATCAAACCACACATGAAGAACTCCGCCTTCTGTTGGTATCTCCGGAACACTGGGGCATGACGTCCTGCTTTCCCTTGCAACAAGAACTGCAAACACACGAACAGTAAAATGTGCAAATCATGTCTCAGATCATCGACACAGCGAAGATTCCATCAGAAAAAATAGAATCTTTTCAGATGACCCAAGTTTCAAACCCGGATGAAATATTATACTAATGTACCGGATTCCTAGAAAAGCAAATGTATGGTTTGGAAATTGGAGGGTCTCTTAGAGAACATACCAAAGAATCCAAACTCGATCAAAAGAATCCGATATTTTATCTGAATTGGGTTGATTAGGTTTAGATGGGTTGATTTACCTTGGCTACAAGGGTCTGAACACCAGCATACTTGACGTCCCAACCGAACTCGGTCATGGCCCAACCAGTTCCACCCATGGCGTCACCATTCCGACCCAAGTAGTCCAAGTAGTACTGGTTGTTCGACGCCTGGTACAACCACGCCGCCGACCACAGCAACTCGTCCTGTTCATTACCGCAAACACGAATTCCATTGACGGACGGATCTATAGAATTCACATATGTTCATGATCCAATCATATTCAGAATTTTGGGCGTACGTTGTAACCACTGACGGATCGGTAGTACTTCTGCGCAACGGTGATGCTGCTGTCGTATTTTCCTCTGTATTTATCCGCGAAATCGAAAAGCTGAAACAGATCATAAAAGATTGATGTGATTAACTCACGAAACAGAGCAGCAGCGATGATGATGTAACACAATGGCTAATCCGTAATATCGTAGAAGAACTAACACTTTGGCACAAGCCCAGGAGAAACAGTATTAAGAGCAGTGGCAAATCCGAAAATTTGCGGAAGAACCAGGGATGAGTTTGGGAATTTTAACAGAGTGGCAAATCCGTGATATAGAGACAAAACGAAGGCTAGTTTTGGGATTTGAGAGGAAGGGATGGCCACCGACGGACTAAGGCACGTGAGGAGATTTGAAAACGGATCTCATCGAAACGAACGGCTGAGATCGAAAGAAAAGGGTACGACGACATGATTTTGTACGGTCAAAAAACACAAAACCCCGTGATAGACGGAGAACGACGTCGTACGTCGCCCCCACCTCTAGAGATCCATCTTTTGCGGGGCCCCCTGGATTCCCCTCCAAACGACACCGTTTGGCTCCGTTATTCTTGCTAATTTCTTTAATTATTAATCAAGTGGATACCCAGAAAATAATTTAGAAAAACAAACATCGAATCCAGTATTAAATCAGAACTTTTGAGAAGATTACGAGGCAATATATAAAAAAAATAGAAGCTTAAAGCCAATTATTCACCAAAAAAATATATCTAAATTGGTTCGACGCCAAATTCTGAATAGCGGTAATTATCGCTGCATGCTTAACATGCGCCTCCAACCCCCAACGCCTAAAATGCGCCGAAAGAGACCTTGAAGAGTAATAATAGTGCTGTCTGCAACTTCCCATAGGGCCGTCCGTCAACAGTTATAGCCAAACTGCCCTTATTAACTATACCCAACACACCACGATTGCCACGCTAACCTGCGCACCTAAAACCCGGTACGGCTAAAATGAGCCGGAACTAATAATGAAAGTACCTGATAGGCGTGCTTGAGGAGGAGCCTAGAGTAGGCAGGGTTCGAGCGGCGGAAGACGATAGAGGGGGGGGCCATGGCGGCGGCGGTTTCTCCGGCGAGATCCGACCCGGGATTGCTCGGGTCGACCCGGTACGCCTTCCGGTCAGTCGTCATGTCCTCCGGTCTCTGCCAACAGTAATGGTCGGTGTTTCCATCTCCCACCTAAAAAGCAAAAAAGACCCATTAAACTAATCACACAGTAGTACAATGATAACACGTCAAAATTCAAAACCCATAATCGGAAAACAAAAATGAACTATAATTTGGTCGGAATCTGGAAGGGAACCTCTCCGTAGAGAACGTTGGGCTCGGGATGGGCTTTGATGAAGTAATCAGTGCCCCATTTGATGGCGTCCATGGCGTGGCCGAGCTCGCCGTTTTCCGCCATTTGCTTTCCGTACTCGATTACGCTCCACGACATCATCGTCACCGTGAAAGCCATCGGAAGTCCGAATTTCACGTTGTCTCCGGCGTCGTAGTACCCTCCGACCAGATTCACCTGAAATTAAAAAAAAAAAAAAACACCACCACATTAGTTAGTACGGTGAGAATCAGGATGTGCCCAGATAGATACATTGCAATTTGATATCACTGATCAGAAACAGAAAAATGTCGTTGTACCCAAAATTTCTGGATACTGAACTTTAGAGCGTAATCGTTGTCTAAATCGGACCAGAAAGACCTGAGATTAGCTTCTGTTACATAAAGTCTCAAGATTTAGTATACTTTTTTTCGAAAAATGTCGTCTGAAAGTTTAAAGGAGTTTGATCCTCGAATGTTAGGTTATATCTCGCTTACCCCATTTCCGGCGAGCGAGAAAATGCAACATTTTCCGGCACATGTGAATGATATATAGAGAGGGGAGACTTACACCACTGGATTTGCCGTCGTTAAGACCGGAGTGAGAACGCCAAGTAACCCTCTGGCTACGAGGAAGAACACCAGATCTCTGAGCTTCGAAGAAAAGAATGCTCTTCGACAGAGCCTGTCGGTAGTCATGCCCGGCGAGAGCCGCCGGAAAACAGAGGACCAGAAATAGAGCAGCCATCAAAGCCGGTCTCCGGATATTCTCCGCCATTGTCTATTTATCTCGACTTTACAACCGGAAAGATAACAAAAGCAGGGGAATTTGGAGGAGGAAGAGAGAATGCCGGCGAATTTATCAGCTAAAAAGCGCTGAAATGGCCGGGAAATTCGCCGGAGATGGATACAGAGTGGCCGGTGAAGATGAGGAAGAAGAGTTGTGAAGAGCAAGGGTTGGGCGGAAGCGCTCTATATATGGAAGAGGAAGAAGGAAGGTACCATGAGGCAGGAACATTGACAGACAGCAATAAGTGATAAATTAATTTCGAATTAATTGCGATTAATATTTACTGCAATTTTTTAAAGCCTTACATTATATTACCATATGAAACCTAGATTTCAAGTGTCCATAAAATTAATAAACAACATTACATCTCAACATTTTTCCTGCACAGAACCTCCCAAATTTTAGTATCATATTAAGTAACGTACGAAAAAAAATTAACTAGGAGAGTCAGAAACGACATGGATATATAGAAAACAAATTTCTTTTCTTTTTTTTCTCAAAAATCATGTGGGGGTAATGTATCCCATGAAGCCTTGTTTCTCTTTCACTCCCATAGCGGCGGTGCAGAATTCAATGTGTTTATAACTTTACATGTGACTTAACAAAAAAGAAAAATCCCTAATAATTATGTGTACGATTGAACATTCATAACTTATAATGGAATTATGCAAACTGTTCTAATCTTCGTTTTATAATTTTGTATTAAAAATACATCACATATTATGTTAGGAATATTTTCAGATTGTCTAATCGTCGTTTATAGGTATGCCTTCTAACGCATTAACATCCAAATTACTCTAATTTCCGGTCAAAGTTTTGCAGTGATAAACAATCGAACAAAATTAACGCTGATAGTTATGTTATTAACTTTACTAATCATAGACTAACAGCGCTCATGTGTATTCAAGGCTCATTATTAGGGGTGGCCAATTCGGTTCTTAACCGAATAACAGCGGTTCGGTTCAGTTCGGTTCGGTTATTCGCTTAATAACCGTTTGGTTGAACAAGTTCAATAACCATTCGGGTTCGGTTCGATTCGGTTAATAACCGAATAACCGCGGTTAACCGAACGGTTATTAGTGTTTATTTAGTTTTTAGTGTTATATTCTAAATATTTATATAATATTTTTATAATTTCACTTTCAATTTTCATATATTCGTTGATATCTCAAATTTTAATTTATAGATAATTATAAGTTAATTTTTTATTTGATTAAAATTTTATTTTTATATATATTATATATAAATTTATTATATTTCTTAGAATAAATGGAGCTAAAAAATGGTGAAGGTTGAAATTTTTGAAGAATTTTGAAAATTTTGTGATTTAAAATTTGAATTGAGCATTTTGGAAGATTAATATTGTATATTTTAGTTTAGATTGATAATTTTAAAGGATTAATATTAATATTATGATATAATTCGATGTTTTTAAAGATTTTTTTTCTAATTTATTTTGTATATATTAGTGTTTATTTATAACCGAATATAACCGAACCGAATCGAAACCATCAAAATTTAACCGTTTGGTTATAAATTTTTTGTGCTAAAATCGAACCGAACTGATTTAAATCATATAACTGTTCGGTTATAATTTCTTTATAAGCGAAATAACCGAATCCGAAATAACCGAACCGAAACCCGAATTGACCACCCCCACTCATTATGGGTTATGGCAACTGTGAGAATTTATGATAATACGGGCCAAGGGGGGGATAAAACCATACCGATAAAAGTAGGTGTAAAAAAAATTACAGTTTTGAGTTTCCCAAGAGGAGTAAAGAAAGCCCAAGCGACACGTTCCCTTTTATGCGAATTCTCGTAAATACCCTTCCACGGGTCCCCTCTTATTCCAGAGTGTGTACGCAAAGGTTCGGGGGTCAAGTTGGGAATCCAATTCAAATTACAAATAAATAAAATCATTGTACAAATTTGTATAAACAAAGTATCCACTCATTAAAAATAAATAATTATTATTGAGTTAATCGATTTAATAATATGATGCAAAATATTTCCAGCAATCCATGTTCCCGAGCATCATAATTGTTCTTGAGGTGAATTAAATATACAATACAACAAAGACTTGGATGGGTAGGAAATATTTCAAAATTCAATAACCAAAAGACCGATTTTTTTTTTTACTTGGGAGAAACCAAAAAATAAAAAGGTCCCGTGCAATGTTCACCTACGAAATTACGAAACAAGCCTTTGACCATGAGGAGGAAAATAAAGACTTTGAATGGTAGTGACTTTTATTTTGAGTTTTTGGCTTTAATTTTTAGTTTTTAGTTTTTAGTTTTTAGTTTTTAGTTTTTGGCTTTTGGATTTTATAATATTTGAAAACTTAAAAAAAGTAGCTTTTGATTTTTCATTGATTTTTTCATTAAAATGGTTTTCTAAATTTTTAGAAAAAGTAATTTTGTAAAAACTTGAATGTTATTTTTTTTTTTTTTGGATTCTAAAAACTCTAAAAATTCTCAAGGTCAAAATAGAGAAATCAAAGGAGCAAGGATAAAAATGTAATTTCCGGGAGAAGGCGGTGAGACAGGCGGACGTGCGGCTTTTGACACCTGGTTTTCTGGAACCATTTTACAGATCCGAATACCCGACAACCCGACCAACCACTCACTCTCCCCTTCCTTCCATTTATTTTCAAACTTTTTTCTTGGTAAAACAAATATTACTATAATATATATATGTATGTGGCGTCCCAAATCTCAGTTTCCAATTTCACTAATGCTTTCTATGGGAGACATCCTTAATAATTTGACCCGTAAAAGTAGCCACCCATGCCACGACTACGAGAGTAGTAATACTAACCTCATTTTATCCGATGATTAACAATCATTCAAGAAAAAACTTTTTATGCATGTGTCAACAAATATCGAAAATATATCAATGCCATAAATATCATGCGTATTATATAGGGTTCTGTGCTATGTGCTTCTGAAAGATGTTAGATACAAAAAACGCAACCAAATTAATTTGCAATCCCTAATCCAAGATTATATGTGTTCTATTTAACTGGACAACTCGGAATCTTATGGATGAGCCGTTAGCCGTTGATATAGTCCAAGGATTGGTAAATTATATAAAACCCACCGACAATAAAACTCGTATATATGTGTGTTATGAAATATGGTTTTTTATTGTTATTTGTATTCGTATGAATCTGTAATAGTATGGTTTTAAAATCGCAGGGAAAGGAAAGAGGACAAAGGGGGAAGGGGTCAAAAAGGCAGGGCTCCGTGTCAGATGGCTTTATTCCCAGCCCCAACCGCAATCAACGGTCTCCGCCGAATAAACTTCCCCCTTCCTCCATTTCTCACTTCTTTTTCTTTTTCTCTTTTCTCTCTTTAAATCTTTTATTATTTTTTAATATCAAACCTTTTCCCTTCTCAGTAGAGCTTATTATGTATGCGTTAATATTTACTTATTTCATGTTATCCGATATTATCGCAATGTGATTTAAGATTATTATTTTTTTATAACGGAAAACTCTAACTGTCATCCTTCGGATACGTTGACTAGATAAACCCATCGATCTGAGATCACCCTTTATATATAGATCTTTTTATCCAGAAATTACATCTTTTTCTACCATAAAGAATCGAACACTTGACCTAGAGTGCCAAGACATCACATGTCATTGATGCCAATCACTCGACCATCATGTGTTGGATGTGATTAAAGATTATTGAGGCTATATGTCAGATATTCACAAGTCTTTGATTCACTACGCCATTAGTTTATTGAAGATCCTCTATTTTTATATGACGTTTTAGCACAATTTTTTTGTTTTAAAATAAATAATGTTTTTAATTTTTCAATATAATTTTTGATATAGTTTTCCAAATGATCTCTTGTCAATAATAGTTTATGTTTCAAACAATAATTATCTATCTGTTAAATAGAGGTATTTTAGACAAAATATTTTTTTGTAATATACGTATTTAAAACTAAAACGTCATTTAAAACTGAAATGAGGGAGTATTTTCTATCTTTGATTAACGAGCCTACAATTCATCTTCTTCACTAAGAGATCAGCAACGGTAAATTAGTAAAAGAGATCAGCAGCTGACACGTCAGCGATAGTCAAAAGAGGCAAAACCTCCAGGTTGACTGGCTGTCGCCGGTTGTGTCACGGCCACGGAACCGAACCGAACTTTAAAAAAATACTTAGCATCTCATTGGATGTGGGACCCACGTGAACACTTCGTAGCCAATTAAAACGATTTAAATGCTACTGTATTCATATATCTTTTTCTTTTATTTATTTCATTTTTAACCGACTTGGTAACAAAAGGAGAAAATTCCAAAGGGAGGAGTTCAGATCTCGCCACGTCACTAGAATCTTTCTGTCCCGCATACGTGGCAATATCTTAGTGGGCCTCTCGTTAGGTACCAGAAAGGATCCTAGCGGTGCAGTGATATGGGCTTTCCTGACCCATCCATATGTCCCTTTTTTACCTTCCAAAATGCAACTTGACGTTTGATTTAATAATTAATATATTAGACAGAATAATTTGAGATATTTATTTATAAGATAATTAAAAAAAAGGATATGAAAAGGTTTAGGAGATGTTACAAAGCAACTTAGCTGACAAGAAATGTGTTGCCAATACATATACGATTGGTATGTTCTCGCAATGAATAAAATAATCTATCTTTTGTTTCTATTTTTTGTTCAAATCACATTATTTATATATTTTTTTCTACATTTCTAATTATTTGTTATTGGATAATTTCGTAAATATTTAACTAAACGACGTTCTAAGCGACGATTAGCGTGCACTCTATCTCGTGTGCATGACAGACGGCGGCTATAAGTTGTAACTTTTTATATAATGTCACACCAAAAAAAAAAACTTTTATATAATGCATATACGCGTATGGTGTATGCATGTGTATGGGTACACCAGACTATATATAACTATATACAAGTACACGTAACAAATATGTGTCATAAATTCGGACAAGTTATTGGAGTTGGAGCTGGTCACTTCTGCTTGGTGTTTAAGGTATTATCTGTATGCAATAAAATATGACCGAATCATTGATGTGTATGCATGTGTGCATATACGTATACGCTTATAGATCTCATACATGAAGATGCGCTATAAGATACACATACAATTTGCTTATCATATGATATAAAGGAA